AAAAAAGGAGGCCGAACCGTGGCGCATCGTGTCCTCTTTTTCCAACAAACGGTGTTTATGAACGCTTTTGCCACACGCGACCTATTACTATTTACGCGTACTAACTTTAGATCCATCGATCCAAGACGAAAAACAGGAAGATTCAATTAAACACCAGTGGACTTTGAACAACGGACGATCTCCATCTTGGTTGGCTTGTTGGTACGTTGTATTTGCTGGATACGAACAGGCAGGCATCATGAAGCAATGGATCTGCGCACCGGCGCAGCGTTTCCGCTCGTTCCTCGACATGGGGGTTGGGCGCCAGCCCATCGTTCGTTCGTCCTGTCACTTGGGAAATCCCACACAACCACACGACACACTCTGCTGATCAGAGATGCCTAGGGCAGTCAACGTGCTGGACCCTCGGACCCCTGCCCTGGCAAGAGATGAAACGACGAATCGGGGAGAGTAACTTCCCATGTGGATCAAGGCAACAAACGGCATCCCTCGGCCCCGGGTTGTCCGTGCTCCCTCGGCATCCCCCGAGCCTTTTTTTCTTCTTCTTCTTCTTATTATTATTATCTTGTCTTTCCTCACCGGTCCGGGGTCTTCTCCGCAGTGATCCCCGGCAGCGGAGAGAGCTACGATTCGGGTGACGTTTTGTCTTTCGGTTTAGTTGTTTCTTGATAGAATAGGGAGAAAAATAAGAAAAATAAAGAAAATAGAAGAGCAACGAAAGAAGGCTTCGATCGAGGGCGATGGAACCGAATATTTTATCGTCCCAACCTCCAAATTCCCCAGTTCCAGGACATAGCAACGTCATTCCCTTCTTGCTTCGGTATGTCCCAAACAAAGCAATCAATCAATTCCTGTCTATTGGGATCTTGGATGGAAGGATGTCCCCCAACATCCATGGACGATTTTCGTCTTTTTGCCTTGATCGGGTCATACGCCCTTGATCGGGTCATACGCATGATAGTCGCGTCTGCACCACCGCATCATCCTCCAGATATGGCTCTGGCCATGGCAGCTCCGAGCTCAGATTGACTAGCACTACCCCCGTAGCCAGAAACCAGGTACAGCGTAGTTACGTTGTAGCTGTTAGTGGTGTAAGGAGGGCGCCGGGAGCCTTGCCAAATCTGGGCTTACCAAGAAGTGGTAGTGGTATTACTCCCTTCCCTATTCCGTGCTCCATCCTCCGTAGTGGTAGGCGTTTCGTAAGGGAATGTCCCTATTTCAAGACTTCGGACTCCGTGCCAGCTGGCGAGATCTTTTCTTCTCCTTTCGGAAACCATGAAGGAAAAGGGGCATGGTCTAGACATCCGTGCTTCCCCTTTTCCCCATTACTTCGTAGCCCGCTTATGCCGCCCCGGAATACCTAGGTACCCTTATGTTGATGTCTCCCCCGAATATCGACCACCGACCACGAGAAGTTTTCCCCGGTTACGACGTCTTCCGATGTCTGTCTGCTCAAGCCCCGGGGGACTCGTGCTCCCCTTGCTTTCCTTGCATCCTTTATCTTCGTAAAAAGCAAGCTTTCCCTCTCCTTCCGTCTCCGTCTCCGTCCCCGTCCCCGTCTCCGTCTCCACCTCCACCTCCACCCCCCACCCCCTCCCCACACCAACTGGACGTCAGCAGAAGAGAGTGTGTAAAAGAGAGAGAGAGAGAGAGAGAGAGAGAGAGAGAAAGAGAGACACAGGACGGAGAGGGAAGAGAACAGAGAACACGGAGTCAATAATACCGCTTATGTGGTGAAGTTCCCCCCCCGGGGTTCAAATGCGTGGCGTTTTTCGGTACGATGCTGTCTGTCTAGCTCCCTCGTTCCGGGGAAGTGCATGGCCTTCGACATACACGAGGCTCTCTGCATGGCTCGACCCAAAGCCAAGATGTGTCTAAACCGCTGCATGTCTCAGATGGTAGAGAGAAAAGAAAGCAACAATATAACGTCACTTTGTTTCTTTAATATATATTCGTGCGTATATATAAATAAGAAGGTTGGGTGGATTCGAGGAGACAAGCTCCAACCCCTCCCGAAGCCACTCGTGATCCTCGGGTGTTCTCCACGTGCAGAAGAACACGTGACCTGCATGCAGCCGTATGTCTCGAGATTCAGGATGTCCTCGTGGGACTTGACCTGTCTTCGGGGGTTCCGAGCTCCGAGCCTATAAATATGCAAGACGCAAAATTCGGATTCATAGGAGCCAGCAAAAGGAACGACCAGACAAGGATCGTCCGATGCTCCGATGCTCCGATGCTCCGATGTGCGGATGGAGAAGTAGAAGCGTCGCCATGCAGCTGAGACCAATGAGCACTTGGTCATCGTGGTGAGATAAATAAAGCTTCTTCACCAGAAGCAGGCAGATCTCGGTGGTATGAATGTCTAGAGAAAGTCATATTTCTTCGTCTCGCTTCCCCAGCCGCCCTTCGTCCTCCCCCTTTCCAATCTCTTTTGCCTCAAATGACGTCGAGATGAACGAGACAAATGTCCGTAACTGATGATCCAGTTGCATCTTACCCGAGTTAGTCCCAAGTCGGTGTATCTATCGTCGGACTCTCGATGAAATAAGAGTGAAATCCCGAGTCCATGCTAGTAGTTGTATCGCTCGAAGCTCCAACTTCCGTCCGTAAAATCCTCCCAGTCCAGCAGCCATGCATACATACTCTTTCATGTCGTCCGTCTCATGGTGAAAAATCGAAATCGCGTATCAAAAGCGAAAGGGAAAATGCAAGGCCAAAGCTGGCTGACCTGCCTTCGCCCTCCCGTTTCCTCCCGTTCTATCTCACAAACGAATTGTATCACTTGTCCATCTACGACGCCCATTAACGTCCTCTAACCGGAAACAAAATCCCTTGTCCCTGTCCCCACAGAACCCTTCTACCATCTCTTGGGCCTCCCATTCAAACATGTCTAGGTTACACTCCCCTTGACTCGTCTTCCGCCTTTCTGACGGCATCGCGCTCGCCTCATTGCAGCGGGGAAAGTCTTGGTAGAGAGACAAACCTTTCCGTTTTGGTCCTTGCCCGGCGTGGCCAAAGAACGGGGCTGGTCATATTGATCAAGTCTGCCTGTGACTGGACTGCTGCTGCTGCTGCTGCTGCTGTATCAATCGGTCAGACGTATTCTAATATCCGGCCGAGTCGCTTGACGTCGGGCTGTCGACTGCCGGTTGATCTCGGATCGGTAAGGCCGAGCGCACGGTCGAGCCGCCCAGGTCATTGTCCATGACGCGGGACGGACTTGCTAGTGTGGTTTGGTGGGATGCCGTCCGCCGAGCTGCCGCACCCCGTAGCGGCGTCAAGGCCGTCATCGCCGCGCCGCGAGGACTGACGTAGTTGTTGAGCTTCTTCTCCAGCACGTCGACACGGACCGGCTTCGCAATGTAGTCGTTCATTCCGGCCGCCAGGCATTTCTCCCGGTCCCCCTGAATAGCCGACGCCGTCATGGCTATAATGAGAACCTTGCGGACGGCATCGATAGGCTCCCTGCGAATCACCCTGGTCGCCTCATACCCATCGAGGACCGGCATCTGCACGTCCATGAGAACAACGTGATATGGCTGGCCTTCCTTCGCTTTCTGCCGCAACCCTTCCACGGCCTTCATCCCATTCTCGTAGGTATCCACCGTCTTATAGCCGAGCCTGTACGAGTATCCCATCGCTATCTTCTGGTTGATCGCGTTGTCCTCGGCGATGCAGATCCGGATCTGATCCTTTGGTATGGTCGTCAGTTGGAAAAAGGGGTTGAGAGATTGCTCCAGCTGCGCCGTCGGAAGGGCAGTGAACCGGTCGATGAGTGGAGGGACCCTCGTAGCGTGCGCATCGCCGACGTTCACATCCGGTTTGGCCTTCTCGAATGTCACCGAGAAGGACGCCGTCGTTCCAACCCCTTCCTCGCTTTCGAGCTTAATTTCCCCCTTCATCAGCGTTTCGATCAAAGACTTGCAGATGCTCAGCCCAAGTCCGCTGCCCCCATACTTCCTCGCCGTGCTCGCATCCCCCTGACTGAACGGTTGAAATAGGTTCTTCAACTGTTCCGAGGGGATCCCGATGCCCGTGTCTTGCACCTTGAACGTGAGCGTCACCTTGTCACTCGTCTCCTTCTCCACGTACACCCCGATGATGACCGACCCATTTTCAGTGAACTTCAGACTGTTGTTGATGAGGTTTCCTAGCACCTGGTGAAGCCGGATGGGGTCGCCGTATATGAGCATCGACGGCAGACGAATGTCTTGGATGATGGCGACATTCTTTTGCTTCGTCTTCTGCCGGTTGCTGTACGATACGGCACGAACAACCTCCCGCACCATCTCCTCTGGGTTGAAGGCAATGACGTACAGTTCAATCTTCCCAGCTTCCATCCTCGAGAAGTCGAGGATATCGTTGATCACTGCTAGGAGTAGGTCGGCCGATACGCGGATGGAGTCGGCCATCTCGAGCTGCTCCTTGTTGAGGTTGCTTTCACGAAGCAGTTCCGAGTTGCCGATCACGCCGTTCAGAGGCGTCCGCAGCTCATGAGACACGTTTGCCAGGAAGATCGACTTGGCCCTAGATGCCTCTTCGGCGATCTTCACGTTGCGTTTCGCCTCGGCTTCGGCAATCCAGGCTTTGGCTTCCGCCTCCTGAGCAAGGGCTACCGTCTGCTTCAAGGCCAACACGTTGTGCTCGTTCTCGTTGGACACCTTCTCCACAGCCTTCATCGCGAGCGAATTCGAGTAGCTAATGCCGATCTGGTTGACCAGCAGCTGGAGGACAGACACGTTGCGGTCTGTGAACGATCCGGGCTCGCCCTCGAGATACAGCACACCGAGAAGGCCATCTTCACCAGCACCACGGGAGATGGGTATGGCGATGATGGCCTTGCTGAGAGGATTCCTCTGCGACCACGTCTCGCTCACGTTACCGAATCGCTCATCGTTGAGAATGTCGGGAATGAAGAGCGTCTCCCGGAACCGTGTGCAGTAGAGGATCACGTTCTCTTCCACTAGGGGCGTCGAAGAAATGAGCTCGCGCGTCTCTGGCGTCTTTGCCCCCCGTTCGGGGTCACCGCTTGCGGCAAGGCACCATCCTTGCGGGTCGCGGACCACGATGGCGGCCAGCGTTGCCGTGCCGCCGCATGTCTGCAGTATCACGTCACACATCGTCTCGAGCAGCTGGTCCACATTGAGGACGGCCGAGATGACTTGGGAAGAGAGGAGGATCGCGTGCAAGTCGATCATATCGAGTGCAGGTAGGCCAGCTCCCGCTTCGGTCTGCATGTTCACCGAGCCGCGCCAGGCTCCGATTTGCTCACCCTTGAGATCCGCCGCACTCCGTGCGGCTATGGCCACCTCCTCGGCCTCCTGTCTGTCTGCAGGTCGGAAAGAGGCGGGGCCAGTATCTCCGGCGAAGTCTGTCTGTACCCCGGCATCTACGGTCCTGGGATTGCGCGTAGGCCCGTGAAGCAAAAGAGCATGTTCCTCCTCGATGTAGTTGGCCACGCCAACAGCCCCCAGTTTTCTATAAAGGGAGACGGCCTCCTTCATCGCGGCTCTGGCTGACCGCCTCGCTTTCCGGCCAACGAAGACGCCTGCCATGAGACTGTTTCCCAACGCCTCGTCAAAAGTGCAGTTTTGCTCCTCCACGTTGTCTAGGGCCTCTTCATAGAGTCGAATGGCGCCCCCAAAGTCTCGGCGCAATTCGCAGATTTGACCATCGAGCATCTTTGACCATGCAGCGTAGTTTATGCCGTTGTACACTTCCCACTGTTTTATGCTTCTCGTGAGTTCCGAGAGCTGCTCGATGCACGCTTGTATTTCCTCCGCGGTGGGGTCGAACCTTGGGTCATCGATTCGGCGAAACATCCTTCCAGCGAGGGAAAGCCCATAAAAGAACATGAACATCCGGCTGTTACGCGACGACCACAAGTCGTCAATGTTGGCATAACAGACCTCTCCCATCTCAATGGCGCGGTCGTAGTGGCCATATAGGTAGAGCGGGACAATCTCAAGCGTCTCATAAAAGAGGATGGAGCGGTTTCCATTCCGGCAACTCACCGAAAGCCAGGACTTGTAAGCAGCTGTGTTGAACTTGTCATCCGTCACGACTTGCTGCGGGTCTCCTGTCCGCGTTTTGCCCTGAAGAGCACGGCAGACCTGTCGCACTGCGATGAGCAGCGTGCCACCCCTTGTGTCCTCCTTCCATCCTTGGATGCCTTCGCATTGGTATTGGCAAAACGCCTCGAGGTCTGCGCAATTTTCGCTCGCGTATAGCTTAAGGAGCGCAGAGAACCCCGCGCTCAAGATGAATGAGATCCTGTCACCAGCCGTGGCAGCGTACTCCACCGAGCCCTCCAGATGAGCCAGAGCGACGGAGATGGGGAAGTGGACATGCCCGAGAAAATTCCCGTAAATCATGTAGCCCCTGGCCATAGAGAAAGGGTCGCGGAATCTATCGATCAGCTCAATGCAGACGTCTCCAACCTCGACCGCGAGTCCCACCATGCTGAACCGGGAGAGCGCGATGATTCCAAAGTATAGAAAGGCAAGACCCGACTGCGGATATGCCCCCAAGGTCAGGTGCAGATCCAGCATGACCAGCGCGAGGTGATAGTATCGGAGGTTATCACTCCACCATGCCGAGCCGACTGCCTCCGCGAGCACCGCCCCTATAGACGGCAGACTGGTGTCCGAAGAGACGGGCGGGTTCATAAGCTCATCCTTGTCCATGGTCTGAATCTTGATCGCTAACCGCTCGAATTCTCTGTCGCACATCTCGTACGTCGGGTTACTGTCAAAGTCGACCTTCATGGTGCGAAGGCAATCTTCCAGAGAGAGGACCTCAGCCATAGCATCCCCGGCCTGCGCAAATATCCTGGCCTGTAGCACATAGGCAAGAGCTTTATCAAGCGGCGTCCGCGCGAACTTGAAGACGGCCGAGAGAAGTTCGCAAGCTTCGTCGTTCTGGTTGATGTAGATACTGCATTCCGCGGCTCGTATATGGAGGCGTATCGTCTCATCGTACGAAACATCCACGGCGTTATCGTCCCACGGATTGGGCTGCAGAAGGGCAACTGCTGTGGAATAGTACTTGGCCGCCGTGGGCCGGGCGCCATTTTCCGTCGCAGCCAACGCGCACTCGAGCAGCAACTTGCGGAATGGCTGGCGACAGTGAACCCGTCGCTTGACAATGCCGACGGAATCGCAAATGTGAGAGGCGGCAATATCTCTGGCCCGAGAATCGGAAGAATAGTATTTCAGGAGCGTTTGTGCGATTATGAATCGCATTTTGCGGGCATTGCATTCCTTGAGGTTTGCCGACGCCTGTATGTAGCGATCATGCGCAAAGCGGAATCTGTCGTCGGTTTCGCCGGGCACAAGAATGCAGGCTGTCACTGCAGCCTGGAGACCAGCAACGGCATCGTCGTTTGAATAGATGGGGCAGCGATCGCCTGGCTCGGAACACTGGCCATCTTCTTCCGCATACTGAAATTCGCCGCTCATGAGACGACAAACCAGGTCAAAGGAGAAGGTGTAGCCGAGAAGAGAGGCCCAAGCCAAAAAGGCTCTAGAAGCTGGCGGCAGCTCTTCTAGTCTCTGGGTGATAAAATCCGTATCAAGAACATCGTAACCTTCTTCTGTCTTGAACTGGTCGAACAGCCGGTCAAGATCGTAATGCCAGTTACCGTCCTTGTAATCGTACCAAATGGTCTTGCTGCGGTAACAAGCGCTGAGCATCTCCCTCATGTAGAAAGGGTTTCCAGCCGTCTTGGACTGGATGACGAGTGCCAATGGCTGAATCTCCTCTTTTGGCCGACATAGCGTGGTCGCAACGTACTGCACAATATCGTTCTCGCTCAGTGGATTCAGAGGGATTTTCGTAACAACTGGGCACCCCGAACGGGTGTACTCTGTGAATAACGTGAGCGGGTTCGGTCACACTACACATGTAACGCAGTTGAGCATCTCTCAAAGACTTACCGTCAGCTTCGAGGGGGTTGATGATGGTCTCGATTGTTTCGGGAGAGATTTCGTCGGGCCGGTAGGTCAGAACGATGACCATCTTCAGCCGTGCGGCAATGATCTGGGACACCAGTTCCAGAGACTCGCTGTCTGCGTAATGAAGATCGTCGAGGACAAAACAAACGAACTTGTGGGATGTGAACATTCGAAGGACATCCAGGTAAGTGTTCATTAACCGCGTATTCATTGTAGAAGTTCCAGCTCGGAGAAGATCCTGTGATGGCTGTGACGAAACGCTCGGGTTCTGGGGCAAGAGTGTAGGCGAGTTGTCCGGCGACCGCCGCTTGACGCTCGCTATCCTGCCGGGCCTCGGCTGAAAAGTAGACGGCGATCGTGCCAGAGAGGTATCAATGGCTCCAAGAAGATGCTCGGGTAGCCCGAGCATTTTGGCGAGCATTGGCCACACGGGACGGATGCATTGCTTCAGTGTAAGATGGAACGGGGTGTTGGTATGCTTCTCGCCGAAGACTTGCTTGAATAACGAGGACAGCAACTTAAGCAAAGGCCCAAAAGCCTGCCTGCGCGCACTGTCAAATTTGGCCGTGACAAAGTAGCCCCTTTTTCTGGCTTCCGCGAAGACGGACTGGGATAAGAAGCTTTTGCCCAGACCCGCAACGCCCTCTATGGTCACAATTTCACAGAGGCCTCGGCACCGGAACTTGGCTGAACCGAGTTGTCGCGAAAGGCTCGATGAGGTCGGCTCAGCAGAGGCAGCAAGGCTATGGCGGTTTGTCTCGGCTGTGGGCCCCATGCCGTCGCCCAAGCTCCTGGCCTCGACAGACACGGAGTGGTGCCTTTCCCAGGGCCTTGCCATACGAGCCAATGAGCCGGAATTAGACGATGCGATAGTCTCCCCGGAAATGGTCTGGGAGTCGGAGAGCACAGAGGGGACAAAGCTCGCCCTTGTCTGCCTAGGATCCGAGGACGAAGTTTGCGCGAACGACCCGCTACGCAGGGCGTTGCCCTCGGCAGAACTGGCACCCTCGCTCGACACGGTCCCGGTGTCTGGGACCTCGGTCGACGGGGTTGATCCTTCGGAGACTCTGCTATTAGTGGCCTTGGAGCTCATTGCGTGGCTTTTGGCGACTCGATCAATGACCCTGAGCAACTCGTTCTGCTCTTTTTGACGGCCAATCATTATGGTCGGCAGGATGAAGAAGGATGAGACGTCCTTCTCCGCGATGGTCCATTTATCGAGGGCTTGTCGATCCCCTTCGTTCAAGAATTGCCGTACCTTGACCAAGTCATGTCGCAGACCGCTGGCCGAATGATACCGGTCTCCCACCCGCATGGCAGTGCATTTCTCAATGATATCGCACAGGACTGCCGGCACATCCTGCCTCACATTGGACAGGCGAGGTATGCTGCCTTTCAAAACAGAATGGACAATGTCCAAGGGGCTGTCACCCTCGAACACGGGCCGCTGAGCGAGCAGGGTCCAGAAAACGATGCCCAGAGAGTAAATATCAGTCCTGCTGTCAGGCTCGGCGGGCATGCGACCGGTCTGCTCCGGGCTAATATACAACAGCTTGTTCTTAGCTCCCAGTTCCTTCGACAAATTCGACCAGGCTGAGCTCTGGAGTCGATTCTCGAAAGACCTGGTACCGGTGCCAAGTGCGACGAGCTTGACTCGATTCGTTTCCATGTTGAAGTGGAATGCATCTGGTCGGATCTCGCCGTGCGTGGTGCCCTGGCCGTAGTGAAGAATTTCCAGGCACTGTGCCGCACCAACTGCGAAGTCCATAAACTTGGGCAGGCTGATGGGAGGCTTCAGTTGGGAGTCTTCCTGCCGGTAGGCCTCATAATGGTCGCCGACCTTGCGGGTCCGGTAGAAGGCAGGCCCCATGTCTATCAGGTCGAAGAGGTCATTGCGGCCGGCATATTGGTATATGGCGACGATAATCGTCCCGCGGTCGGTGGGCTGAGATGCCAAGCGGACGAGGTCCACAGGCTTGGCAATATGTTCACCGTCATCGTCGACCGACGCTATGAGGTTTTTGGTTATGTAGAACGTCCTTTCCTCGCGGAGTACGTGGTACGAGATGCGAGCCACTACGGGCTCTTCTACATACGGGGTCTCCGGATTCGAGGTCAGCGCAGAAGGGGATCCAGCTGTTAATTCGCTACTTGCGTCGGTGGACGAAACGGATCCGAGTATGCCATGAGGACCGGGGTATTCGGACGGTGATGGTCGGCCGGACTGTAACCTTGCGGCGGATCCGGGACTAGAGGCAGTGGGTTGTGGTGAAAAGGGGGAGACGAATCTGGTTCCTACCACTTGCCTAGACGAAGAGACTGGTCAGAATCGAACGGTGACGGACGGCTTCGAGGAGGAAACGAGACGGAAGAACAGACAGAGGGGTAGGGGTAGGGGGAGGGGCAGTCTTTACCAGATATCATATGATGTGTGAAACGGAGGTTGAGTGTCGTCCCAGGTGTAGCCTGCGATCTGGCGAAGACGTTCAAAGAGCCTGGAAGGCGGATCGAGATGATCGTCCGACACAATTGCAGCACCGTCCATATTGACGAGAGAGGTGCGAGATCATGGGGAGTCAAGATATTCGTCCAAAAGGGAGGGGGAAGTTTTCTCGAGCGTCGCAAAGTGGACGCAAGCTGTTAATTCACGCGGGAGCATGCAACATGGTTAAAACCTGCTAATCGCGAGCGGCCATGGCGAGGTTTCGAAGGGCTGGGGTAATCTGGCGACTGCGTGGGCCCGTCGTCGCGACAGCGCCCTTTTTTGCGTAGTTGTAAACGACGAGAGAAGTCGAGCGGCTCCAGAGCTTCGGTACGAGAATGGATCACTGCGGCAAATTTTGTCGGCTGGGTCGGGTTCGTGGGCTGGTGAATTTCGGATTGTTGACTCCGTCAGTTGGACTCTTTCTTCGTTGAGCTCGAAATACCGCGAACTACAGAACAGTGTCGTCGTCCCGAGTTCTCCGTAGAAAAGAAGGAATAAAAAAAAACCCGCGGCTTCCAGGATCGGTCACGCTTTCCCAACGTGATCCGTTGGTGCCGAGTTGGACGGACAGTCAGTCGTCTGGCTGTCCTGAAGTTTTCCGGTTTCGACGATTCGAGAGCGAGAGGAACGACACCACCTGGATGAAGGGCTGTGGTCCAGTTTATCACAAGGCAACTGATCTCCTCCAACCCAGTTCCAGATTTTGGCAGTTACTACCTATGTACGAATGCAGCTGGGACGAATCATTTTCTGCAAGTACTGGCACAGTGGGTCCCCGAAAGTACCAACGTGAACTGCATGATGTGACTATCTAAAGTGCTTCGGTTATTTTGAAGACCTGGCTGTACTCTGTACACATTAATAATATTATTCCGAGTGAAGTTCAAGTGGGCAAGCTTTGGGTTGGTCGGTGTGACAATCGACCAACAGGAGCATGTTCAATAGCAATTACGTATTTACCTAATAAATCCGTTCAACGAAAGGTCGCTACCTACCTACCCGGTTAGGGGGGGGGATAGGTTAGAGCTCGAACAGAGAATTTTGCACTAACCAGAGCCAGGACAAGAGATATCGCTGTCAACATAATATTCTAAGACGTGCGACATCTGACCAGTCCATCGGGCTCTGACCTGTAACCAGCCAAACCCGGGTAGGTAGGTACCTAGGTAATAAACCTCCCTCTTCGTACTTACCTATATTCGTATCTTGATTTCTTCAGCCAGAGTAGGTCCTCCAAGGTTCGAACCTGCCATTAAAGACAATACACAGTACACTCTGAGATGGGGAGGGGGAGGCGCTTATTAAGGTACCTTAGCTTGGCCAACTACAGGTAATCAACATATTCTTCGTCCGGCCATGAATACTTGGGACCAGAAAACTCCGACCACACAGACAGGGCAGAAGAAAATTGCAACATGTTTGATCATGACTCGGTCAAGAGCGTTGCAGGATCACGAAACACCAGTATAGTAAGATCGTCAGAAACTTGGCTCCACTTGTATGTCTATTGTTGCTCGCTCTATAATTCCCTCAACAGACAAAAGCCTTCCATGTCGCCTTCGCGCACACCAGTTTTCTACGATTAGGGAGGGAATCTACATATGCATCCAGTCCATCCGTACCCAGGCCGTAATATAAAGCCTAGATATCTCTTTATAAGCATCGTCGCAGCTTCCGTCAACATAGCTCGTTCATTATGTTTCCTTTCCTTCTTCCACGGATTCCGTTCTCCTAAACTTCATGTTCACCGGCGACGAGGAGTTCCCGATCGCGCGGTGATCATGGCCACATCGCCAGGTTTTCACCCTTGAGGGCCTTTTACGGCCTGATCAGCAACAGCCGAGGATGTTGCCACATTTTAGTTTGACCTATTTGGACAACTTTCGACAACGCGGGACTCTCTTAAGCCCTGGAGCCAGCACGCTCTCGGGTGGGAAGATCCTGGCTTCCGTTAAGCTGGGCTGTCGTGGTGGGCGCGAAAACGAAGCTCTGCGCGAGTCGTCGCTCAGTGTTTTGGCGGCCGTTCACAAAGTCGGGATAATTGAGGGTGAGCTCAACGGCACCGCTGTGAATATTGTCCACCGCCTCGACGCCAAGCATGAAAGAGTGGTCCTGGTTGCCGACCTCGTATCTCCAGCTTCCGAATCGCCCGCGGGAGTAGATGTCCATGTCGAGCAGCTTGGGAAGAAGTTCCGTGAGGACACCTTCACGCTCCAACGAAGGAGTGGGGTAACCGTGGTCGAAACGGCGGTGGTAGGTAGAGACGATCTCGTCCTCTTCCTTGATCATCTCAGTATTGATGAGGCCCTGGATGCAGTCCTTGAGAAGGTTCTCCTGGTCAACCGGCTTCATCGAAGATTCCGATACTTCCAACATGATCGACCAGTAAGGGCCCTCCTTGGCCTCGGACGATTCGGCGTTGGCGCCGTTGGCGAAGTACATCGTCGGAAGCTTAACATTGGCCTCTGGCTGGTTGTAAGGAGAATAGTTGGAGAAGATGGTAGCGCGGTAGAACGGGCAGTTGCTTTCGGGGAAGTACAGCTGCAGACCAGGAAATTAGAGACCGTCGTACCGACAAAACACGCCAAGGAGGCCACAGGACTCAACTTGTCACATACCCAGCACTTATCGCCAATGCGCTCTGGCCGCTCGCCGCGAATGCCTACACCAACGACATGGGTGGTCGAGTAGAAGAGACCCTTGGACAAAGTCACGAGTTCTTGGTTACCCATCTTCTCGACGAGTGCATCAACAGCCATGGTCGAGATGAGCTTGTTGTACTTGACTGTCGTGCCGTCTCCCAGAGTAACAATCTTGTTCTCGGCGTCCACCTTCTCAACCTCGCCCTTCTTGCCGAATCGCTTCTTGTCCTCCGGAAGAGTGTCGGCCACGGCGATCCAGATGCCGCCAGTGCCGTCACGGGCAGGGAAGCGGAACGTCGCGTTCGGACCCCAGTTGCCGGCGATCTTGTTCAGAACGACGTTCTTGGTAACAAGCTTCAGATTGGGAGCAGCAACTCGCTCGCCAAGCCAGGCACATTGCATCTATCCGGTATCGGTTAGCGCCCAATTCCAACATGACGCGAGAACAGACGTGTGCCAGAGTGAGAAGATGGGGCAGTACTGACCTTGGTAGTGGGAACTGCCCACACCTTGTAGTTGTAGGGCCGCATGAAGATGTTGGCAATGCCCTCGCCCGTGTTGCGCAGGATCCACTCGTCAAAGTCCTTGGGCTTTGTGTTGGCGACACGGCATTCCATGGCAGCATCAATCAGGCCGTCCATACAGAGGACCTGGTCCTCCTTGGGAAGCATGGAGATGTTGTTCTGGAAGGGATAGGGGACCCAGAGGCCCTTGTAGCGGACGTAGGAGATACGTTGGTGCGTGTGCCAGTCGTCCTCCTTGGGCAGCGCCTCGTCAAGACAGTCGTCGAAGTACTTGTAGTGGGAAAAGATGACGTGGCCGCCGACATCGTAGAGCTACCAGAACTCCTCAATTAATACTGTTGGTTGGTCTGTAGTGCGGCGGGATCCGAAGGAGGGGTGAAGAAAGAAGCATGGCAATGGAAGCAAACAGGACAATAGACGTACAAAGCCCTCCGGGGTGACATCAGTAGAAGCGAGACCACCGGCCTTTTCGTTGGAGTCGACAATCAACCAAGAGGGGCCATTCTATATGCCGTTCGGGTCAGTTTCGTGCCTTAATGTCGATGTTGGGGAAAGCGAGCGCTTGCACTCGATGCAGCCTTAGGTTAGGCGGTGAGGACGCACAATCTGATTGAGACGTTTGGCAGCACCCAGGCCCGTCGGCCCAGCGCCAATAACGAGAACGTCGACATTTCTATAAGCAAGGAGACGGGTTAGCTGATTTCCTGTGATGCGATGCTTGAGGTTTTCGAAGGTTGCTCGCGTTCAGGATGGCCGGCGTAAACCGCGTGACCGGTCGGTCACTCACATGTCAGCACACATGGCGATGATTGCAAAAGGCAAAGAAAATCAGGGTTGGGCAAGATGCTCTGAACAGTAATAATGCAGGTGAAAGCTCTAACCGGGATAGAGAAAGCTGGGAAAGAGAACTGAACTCGGAACTTCACAAAACGAATGTTGTTCCACTACTCTCAGGCGTGTCGCTGATGCGTACGGAGTAAACCAGGACGGAAATAATACTTGGGGGAGAAAAAAGGGAGCTGGGCTAGATTATTACTCGGTGCAGGGGTCTGTCTGTCCAAGAGGGGTGCGAGCAGCCCCGATTCCTTCGTCCCCAGGAACATTACCCCTCTGTTACAAGGTACAGTTGGGGTGGACGTTAGTACGGAGTAGGCTTCATATTACATGAGATACACTCCGTACCTGTCGGTGGATATGAAGTACCTATTTCATCACGAAACACATAAGGTACCAAGTTACGGGTACATTCCCCGTTTAACTGTCATCAGCGGTTTCGACTCAGTAAGGGAAACGGGTACCTTAGGACAGTGCTTTTCAGGTTTGTTAACGGCTGGGTCCTCCGAAGCATCAGACTCAAAACCCATCCGTACTTCTTCTTACGAAGAAAGGACCAAGCTGGTCGATTGTGTACAAAGACCATTAAGCTCTCCGTGAGTAGGTATATCATAACGACTAAGGAAGAAAAAAGGGGCAGAAAAAGGAGAGATGAAGAGGGGTGGGTGAGGGGGTCCAAATAGTAAAGTTGTGGTGCCTTGGTGGGCTGCAGATTAAGCGCTGCTGGTGGTGCGCAAGGACCCGCATATTGGATTACAGCACTTCTCCGTACCGTAAGGTACCCATCGAGATACTGTACGAATACAACGTACGTACTTGGGAGAGAGCCTCGTTCCAAACGACGTTAAAGGGGGCGTTCTAATACACACGCAGTACTCTTTCGCTTCATGGAAAGGGACCGAGAGCGAAGCGGCAACATCATATACCGGTATTCGACCTCTCTCCGGACTTATCACCCTTATTTCCACTATTCACAAGCCCTCCGAATCAAGCCAAAGGATAAAGGGAGTAAGGATATCCTTTTTCTTTCCCCGCCTTCCACGGTCAACACAATCTCGAGAGCGCTTCCTTGTTTCTTCCCTTACAACTTCTCTGGCCAACCAGACCAGCGTCTGACGACCCAGGTAATTACGCAAGTACAATACCTTAGTGTACCGTACATATTGGCACCACACAGCGCCAAACGGCAATCAGGGGTCGCAGCAAGCTTGACCATAAGGCACGGTCAGTTGGGAGACCCCCACCCCTCTCTGTTCGTATTATGAAGTATTAGTACTTCGTACGGTTTAAAGTGGCTACAGGCGTGGGGACGATCTGCACGATTTGGCGATACCACGGTTCCTTCGACCCTCCTAAGCTTTGATTGTGCAACCATACACCGCCTTCTTCCCCCCTTTCCCCCTTTCGCCCATCCTGTTTGATACCAGGAGTCAGACAGCTATGTACATCGTACTACTCCGTAGGATCTGATAGTACGAAGTAGGTAGTCAAGCAATGCTCCGTACGAGAACCATGAACTCGATTCTCATCACATAACTACCTACTGGTGCTGTCAGCCTGACCAACGCATTGCCGTCCTTGGATCGGACCTACGGATAGTTAATTAGCCTTCTCATGACATGCGGAAAGCGAGGTCGTACATACACAGGTAATCTCGTGGAAATTGGGCTCAATTACACGCGGCCCCATACGTCCCCGCCGTCAACCTGAAGCCTCATTGCGATGTACTGGTACCTAAAGGAGACAGGTGATGAGCTTCAAGGCTGATAAATCTTTCCCAGACCAGTTGATGAATTTCGCGGCACCACTGGCATCTTGCTTCGTATGTACAAAGTACCGCCATTTGACCGAAATGGGCGTCATGGGTAAGTCGGGATGACCCGCTGAGCTATCGCGGCGGGACAGAAGAAATGTGATCGCCAGACTGACTACTCGGTACATCGTAATTACTTCCTTTCAGTCTAGGTAGTGCACATATGGTAGTTAGGATACAAGTGTGGTTGTTTCTGAGTAATTACTTCGTACAGAGCAGTACCCAAGGTAGGTAGGCAGGCAACGTCCAAACTCCTCTTTCCATCTTGCTCATCAGCATCGCATCAGACCAGTACACGCTGATCCGCCGCTTTCTATCATGGGAGGTATCGGCATGGGGGTTTGCCATTGTCGACGATTAGCTAGCGTGTCTCTCTGTCTTCGCTAGGGAATGTGCATGGCCAAAGTTAGGGATGGATACATTTGGCTGAGCGGCGGTGACGTTGACCGTCTTAGGTTTGTTGAAACACGCCAAAAATGGACCTTCTGTAGATCGGGGGCGTGATCGCCGCACCTCTTCACGTCGGCATCTACGACGTAGGTTTTGTATCCGTACTCCGTACATCTACCGGAGTCACCCCACGTTTACAAACCGAGGCTCTCGTCCCCTCCCGTAGGTTAACCGACTCGGAAGCGTTAAGTCTGTTACTAACGCTATCACCCGATGATACTTGCTATCGACTATTGTCCTAGTTGGATTGAACGCCTCTACACGTGTACTGAATCTGGGAATCATGTTGCGTGGACAATCCCGGAGGCCGGATCGAGGCAAAACCACTCGAGAGGTTCGCCGTCCTCGTTTCCTCGATGTTCAAGAATAAACTCGATCGAGTAATTACACCACTTGGAATAACATATGCACGAAGGCGGGCGCGGTAGAGCTTTGATTGCAAGGTACGGATACCTACTGGGCAGGCGGCTGTGGTTGACGGTAGGACTGAAAGGATGCCCATATCGGTACCCTTATTACTCGTTTCCTGGTCTTACGAAATATCCACGAATACTTCGTTTCGTCCCTTTCCCCAAAAGAGTGTTGCTTCGTACGGATACAGTACGACTCACCGATAGCTTCGAAGCCAAGGATGCAGTTAAGGTTCAGGACTGCTTGACACGACAAAGGGATGCTACGATGTACGAATATGTACACTGTTTTCGATTGCGATCTCGGTCATGAAAACGGGTCGATGGCTGGACCACTTGATTCGGGACAGTCGCTCATCGGATCAAATCTGGAATGGAGGGTGGCTTTTCTTTGTCGTCCGGAAGAAGGATGACCGAAGAAGCGTCTGGCGGCCATGTAAGACGGTCAACTCTCCATTTGCGGAATAATGTTCAACGGTGCGATGGGTGTCGGACTGGATTCAATACGAATAGAACCCATTTGGATCCGCAAACGTTCCCCCTAAAGTCCACGGAGGCCAATATGGCTTAACAGTCACCAATGAAACACTCTAGAAATAGTTCATATGCCTAAGCCAATTCACCGAGCACTAGGCTGACTATGATATAGAAAGATAATCAACCTGCGTCAATCTTCTCTTATTAGACACTGTCACGGAATCTGATAAAGTATACTATAGATGGAAACCTGCTCTCGAAGTCTCGTAAGATGATCACATTCAAATTCCAGCATCGGTCTCTTTTGAGGTTTATCCCTTTCAGGTTTAGTGGTAGATGGGAACGTGGGCAAGGTCTGAGAGCTCTGATTTGTTGTTCCATTCGTACCGATACCTATTGGAAGGGAAATAGAGGCCAGCCTGGCCATGTTAGTGCGAATCGTATTTGCTTCGCACTTGGTACGAAATACCAACATGAAGAACCCCGCCCCCCTTGCTAACAGTCTCGGGCCCGGCTGTTCGAACTTGAAGCATAAGGTAGGTAGTGGTCAGGACTCCTAGGTACTAGCTCCCCACTAATCTTATTGTTACTGTCGGTGCATGGTAGCCCCTGAAGGACTGTGGGGCATCCCTCCATGCAGTTACACATCTTGGTTGTACCGTATTGGTGACAAGAGGTCGTTCTAAATACTGGTAACATTATGCTGCTGCAAATTTCCCTGGTTTTGCAACACAAACTAAGTGCCTATACCTTTACAGTACTTGTACAGACAAGCCATCCCTTGTTTGCCTTGACATGTGCAGCTCAATGGTCGAAGCCAAATTTTAATATTTTTTCCATTGCCGTGGGGGATCCATTTCATCTCCCCTGATGTATTTTCCTTCTTCCCCCCTTCTGTTGAACGACTAACCTGCGCCTCTTCGTCGTCCTTCCCTCCCACACAACTTCTCTCCTCTACCTATTCCCCTCTCTGTGCTAACGCAGCTGGGAGAGAGACAGGCTTCCCGTGGCCTTTGACGCTCCGTTCTTATTCTTTTTCTTTTGTTCCACCACAGGTCATCTTCAGCCGTCTCGTGACAAGCTCAAGACTTGACCTAAGGTGTGCAACTTACTTTTGTTCTCTTGGGACTACCAATTTGCACTGTTACAGGCCGCGTGAAACGCCCTCGATAACAAGTGCTTGGCTTGTCCTGTCCACTCGCTCCAACTCCCCACTCCCTTCCGCACGTCGACGAGCACCTACTTCAGACGCGACCTTGACGACGCCCCACGACTGACGGATCGTCGGAACAAAGACCAACAACTAATATAATACTATCTCAACCTGCACTTTTCATCAAGACTACCTACCCGTGCTAGCCTTTCAGCAAGAATAAAGGATACCGTCGACTACCATGTCCGCCGAAGAGAAGACTAGGGTGTCGGGCGATGTCCCTCGCGCCGATTCGAAGGGCCCCATGCTCCCGATCGTCAATCCTCAGGCCGAGAAGCAAATGGCTCAGAAACCCACTGTTCACCCCGTCCTCTATGTGGTGTAAGTTCGGCAGGATCACAGGCGAACGTGAAGCTCTGAAAGCAGCTTTTGCATCGCAACTGACGCTTCTTCCTGAACAGTGTCTGGATCGCTCTCTCGTCTTCCGTAATTCTGTTCAACAAATGGATTCTGGATACCCTCAACTTCCGTAAGCCACCCATCGAGAACTTGCTCTCGCAGTGATTGGCGGCGCTAATATGAGAGGAACAAGGCTTCCCCGTCATCCTTACTACCTACCATCTCACCTTTGCGACTATTATGACCCAGATCCTCGCACGATGGACACATCTCCTCGACGGACGGAAGACAGTCAAGATGACAAGTCGTGTATACGTCCGGGCTATTGTCCCCATCGGCATATTCTTCAGCTTGAGTTTGATCTGCGGCAATCTGACATACCTCTACCTCTCGGTCGCTTTCATTCAGATGCTCAAGGTCAGAATTCCTGCCCTGGACGATTGTTGCTTCTTGGCAACCCACTAACACACTGCAGGCTACCACACCTGTCGCTGTCCTCCTCGCTGGATGGTCCCTTGGCGTTTCGACACCCAACCTGAGGGTTTTCCTTAATGTCTCGGTCATCGTCGTTGGTGTCATCATCGCGTCGATTGGCGAGATCAAGTTCATCTGGATCGGCGTCATCTTCCAGATTGGCGGCGTCATCTTCGAAGCTCTGCGGCTGACCATGGTCCAACGTCTTCTCAGCTCTGCCGATTTCAAGATGGACCCTCTGGTTTCCCTATATTACTTTGCGCCCATTTGCGCTGTCATGAACTTCGTCGTCGCTGCTGCCTGGGAAATCCCCCGTTGCACCATGGACGACGTATATAACGTCGGTCTGTTCACCTTCTTCTTGAACGGCTTGTGTGCGTTCCTTCTGAACGTGTCGGTTGTGTTCTTGGTAAGCCATAAATCCACGACGTCGTTGGATGACGCGAGTATTAATAGTGTCTCCAGATTGGCAAGACTTCCTCCCTTGTCCTCACCCTATGCGGTGTTTTGAAGGACGTCATGCTCGTTATCGCTTCCATGATGATTTGGGGCACCGAAGTTACGGCCCTGCAGTTCTTCGGTTACAGCATCGCTCTGGGTGGCATGGTCTACTACAAACTCGGATACGAGCAGCTCAAGGGCTATGTTGGAGAGGCCGGTCGCCAATGGGCAGATTTTGGCCAGCGCAAGCCTATCTTGCGCAAGCTTAGCATCATTGTCTTCTCGGTTTTCTCTTTCGTCTGGATACTCAGCCAGATGGCGCCAACCTATGCGCCCGAGTACGACCCTCAAAGACTGGTCAATAGCATGCACGGCATCAGCGACAAGATGGGAACCGACAGATTCAGGCTATAATTCCAGAGTCCTGAGCACACTCTGCTAAGATTCCTCGAACTCTTATCAATATTGGCATCCCCAATTCGACTGCCGACTACATGCAAAACCAATACTTGACGGGCTACTCAAAGTTGATCCCTCTCCTTTGGGGTCAACTTCTACACGTTTTTTCCCTCCCACAAACTCTTTTGAAGGAAGGCTCATTTCCGGAGTTGTATCTAATTGGAGACCTATGATTTCTTGTTTCTTTTTTACTTTTTGTTCCGCCTGAAAGAGTTCGGGTATTTACCTGTTGTACAGCTAAAGAGCAATGGCGCAGAGCGCAGGGTCCGGGCTGCATGGCTTCCACGAGGGTCTAATCTGATGTACTCTTAAGACGGCGCGGAAGGATAGACATGCATGTATGCAAATGAATGAATTTCGCAGCTGTGTGGAACATGCCGAGTGATGCCGCCTCCAGATTTTCAACTTGAACTGTTTGTGTTTCCGAGTCCCGTGCCAGCAATTAGTAACTAAAGACTTGGCGATTATATGCCAAAGCATAGTTTCTTTTTGGGATTTAATCGGGAGACCTCACGTTTCAATATCGAAACCATATACGTGATATTTTAGTGGGACTATAACACCACCACTACAATACATATATACCGCACCTATTTATATATATATATTATAAATAATCGTAGGTAATATAGTAACTAACTTAATCTTAATACTAATCCTAATACTTAGCTCGGAGCCGTAGTAGTAATCGGTTATTTTATATAGGATATTATAGGATATTATAGGATATTATATAGGATATCGTGACTTATTCTTATAGTGTTTTAGGCGGTTGGATTTAGAGTTATAGTATAGGAAGTAATACGTTAAGGCTTACGATATCGCCGGCGATTTTCTATATAAAGTGTATATATAAAATAGGTGCGGTATATATGTATCTTGGCGGCGGGTTCATAGCCCCACTAAAATATCACGTTTAAGGTCTCGATATTGAAACGTGATGTCTCCCCATTGAATCCCTTGTTTTTCTATGATATTGGTCCATAGTCTATAAGCCCGAGACTATAGATAATCTGTCAAACTAAACAAGGTCGGCCGATTATCCTGGAGCGCCATTGAGTAACCGATGAATACTTCCACTCTACAACATAATCTCTCGAGGACCGGGCTACGAGACTCCTGGTCGCACGTCCATCCCATGGGCATCCGTTTGGACAATACACCATGCTACATCACAGAATGGGAGCATGTGCACAAGAGCGGCTGCATGACACCACAATCCCCGGGTTCACCAACAGCAGGAGGGACAACAGCGCAGATCCAAACAAAGGTATCATGAAGTCTTCATTTAGGTTCATGTTGTGAGGTCCTTAACCGCGGATCTCAAAATGCCAATTGTGAGTGATGCTCTTTACAAGCCAGACCAACTCCCCATTCCCAGTGACGCGCGTAGAAATGGTTTTCCCTTCTTCCCAGTGTTTTTTATTTAGAACCCTGCAAAAGAAAACCATGTTAGCTTGTGTTCTATGATGTTGTAGGGACAACGATGGACGTGAGGATCTGAGTCTCGCCACGGGTCCTTGTGGGCCGAGTGGACGGTTGCGATGTCGAGTGTAGGAAGGATTATGAATGTGCTGAAAGAGATCTGTTGCAGCTCTGGAGGGGTACGGGACATGTCACATACTCAGAGGGGTGAAGAACCACCGGTTCTTCCCGCTTGTGTACCGCTCCTCGAGCACCTTCTTGACGGTCTTCTTGGACTCCTCGCGCTGGCTGGGCTCCTTGAAGGTGTCGTTGGTGACAGTGCCCTTGAGGCCCTCAAGCTCGAGGGTGTAACGGGTGGGCATGAGGTGGTTGTAGTTGACGAGCTTGACGAAGGGCTTGATCTTGGAGCGCTTCTCTTGGCGGGCCTTGGACATGCGGCGGGTGATCTTGGAGGGGTAGCGCTCGATGCCCGCAACGAGGGCGTGGCCGAAGGGGTGCGCCTTGTTGCCGCTGTCGACGGGCTGGATGATCACAACCTGTACATGGCGAGTCCGGTCAGTGACATGTCCTTCTCGATATTGTGTGTTTTTTCGTTCCTCCAGCGACATCAAGCAATATTGGGTGTTTCTTCCATCCCACCCCGCTCCTTCGCCGGGCAGTCGTGAAGAGAACATCATGGCTGTAACAAAATAAAATAGCCACAACTCTGGCCCGTATCTTCCTGTCGGTCGTTGCCTTCCCAATCGCCAAATATCCTCGTTTCGAACGCCATCCCCACGGAACCGCAAGCATGATTAATCGACTCGCAATCGTGGCATCGTACCTTCTTTCCGGCGTACCGGCCATGGGTAATAATGGCGACGCGGCCGACCTTGAGGAACTTCATGGTGAAGCTTGTTGTCGGATTTCTGGGCGGTTGTGGTGTAAAGTGTCCGTCGTCGCTGAGCACCGGTCGATTGAAATTTGCTCCGGATTTTTTTGGTGTGCATGGCCGTGTGGGTTGGGGAGATTTGGGAAGCGACCTAAGCAGGTGATCAATCACGTGACAGAATGTGGGACCTAAGACCAATCAACACCGAAATTCACAACCTTGGGATCCCAGGTGCAACGGGAACGTTCAATGGTGTTATTTGCTGGGCATTCAAATTGACCTCGACAGTAGGCAAAACGAAATTATCCGCTACAGTTCGATTTACCAATTGAGTCATCTGAACTATATACAACTCAGCGGCTGAGGCTTGTCCTCGACTATGTCCACTCCCGCATACCTCGTCTCTCGGGTAGCCGACCCTATTTTTGCCGTGGTTATTGGCTTCAGTGCTGCTGCTGTCCGCATCAATCGGGAAGGGAAAGAAAAGGGGTTAACACCACGACAGACGGTTGAGGCAGGGAAGAGGCATGTATTTTGTTCTTGGTCAACAAGTAGAGGTTTCTTTGGTCCGTATATTAACAGCGTGCATTTCGATACAGACGTTTAGGCAAGCTCTTCAATGCGTCATAAGTTTCCAGACGCCATAGAAAATGCGATCCATCTACCAGAAACAATAATTAGGGACCTGGTGACGGGCCATCGGCTTCCAAGATCACAAAGCACTCATAACCATTCGCCTTTGCAACTAAACTCGACGCATGCATCAGTTTCCGTACGCCGGACCATACTCCTTCTTCATCGCCTCGCGCACCATTTGTCCACAAAGCTTAGCCGTGGGATTCGTGCTCACGGCCAACCCTTTCGCGATGTCATTCCCGTACCTCCCACCCATGGCAAAGTCTCGAGACGCCGCCTCTTCAAAGTCCAGCTTGCTCCACTTCGACTCCCTTCTTCCATCTTCGAGCGACGCCCTTCCCTCACCGATGTGCTTTCCAGTCGTGTGGTAAATAGCTGCCCTCTGGGTGTAAGCGAGAGAGAGGGTCTTCGCAGCTTGGGGGGAGATGGCGGCAAACGCCATTTTTGGCGACAGAAGAGAGATGGACCTCTCGAGGTCTTCCAGAGCCACAGCCGCCATTCGTTGCTTCTCGGCAGGGTCTGGATGCTGAATTAACCGATTGGCATCTTCTATCTGGCCACCCAGTAGCATGGTGTCGCCACAGAGTCGTCTCAATGCTTGGACCCGGTTGTTTCTCGCGCTGGCATAGTTTGGGTATTCGGTAATGAAGTCATTTAGCTGGGATACGAGGCGCTGGTATTCCTGCACCGGTTCGGAGACAGTTTGTGGTTTCAGTCCTGCCAACTGAAGTTCCAGCTGTTGCATGGACAAGATGATTTCACGCTCCTTCTGGATAACGCGTTCGTACACCGACGTATCGGTGATCTGGGGGTCCCGAGGAAGGGAGAGATCAAGCAAGATGCTGGCCGACGGATCAAAGTCGGGATCCTTGATCTTCTCGAGGACATTGAGATCATTTCGGGAAAGGGGCACGGTCGCCATTTTGTTAATGCCAGGGGAGCTCGAACAGTTGACGAGGAGTCTTGTCAGTGAGTTGGACAGTTGTTCGGGTTGTGGTCGTGGTAACAACGGAAGGTTTTGTGACTCGAATGGCTTATGATCCGTCTTCCAGCCGCAGACTCAACAAAAAGTTCAACAAGGTGACAAATAATATAATCGTTCTGAATATAGGAAGGCCAATAATGCTGACAAGTGTGGGAGAATAAGATATTTGTGATGTTTTCTACCAGCGTCCTTTCTGTTCCTGCCTACCGTTGAGCGGCTACATGTGGATGTATGATCCGGCCAAACGGCCCTCTGGTGTCATGCCCTTCGGGAAGAACGGAGTACCTACTACTATCCGGCTCGTCAGCCTTTAGCGTTTCCGCGTGTTTGCAATCTCACGTCATGGCCGAGATTTACCACACAGATTCCATGGAACGTGATAGGATTTAGCCGCGTTGGTCGTCTTCTCTGGTCAATGGCCAAGCACTTCGTAACATTGAGGTTCGTTCATTACTCGATTTGCTTCGGTGTGTGTATGGAGTGCGGCGGGGCTTCGTCCACACTACGTTGTACGTTGTACACGGCCCGGCCAGCGGCGGCTTAGATCGGCTCAAGTGCCGAGGAAATCCATCGGCGTCTTTCCGCGTCCGAAGCCGACGACTTGGGATCAACCAAAACCAGCGCCTGGCGCGGCCTGAGCCGCCGCCACCCTTCCCTTCCACGAAGTATACTTCGATGTGAGTGAGGACCACAGAGACCACAGAGCCTCGTCATGGACATTTCGAAGACAATGAAGTACTTGCTAATCAAGGGAACCAGATGAGACGGAAACAACCCCGCATGTGGCCTCCACTCTCTCTTTCAAGGCTCGACGGATGCCGGTGATTCCCTATCGTCCGTCTAGGTCCCAGGGGTATGGAAATGCGTGGATACTTACAACACTGTGCTATGGGGAGTCTCTCTGTCTGGTCTTGTCCCGTGAGTTGCTAGTCGCTAGAGCCGCGTCTCTACTTGATGCCGAAAGTCTATCTGTGTCTCGGGATGTCAAGGGGGGTTGGTTATCCAAGTCTTGGTGCCGGTCCTCAGGTTAGAGTACTTAAGGGCTCTTCCCTTTCTCCCCGCTACAGTCGTCGTTTTGGTCTCCCTTCGTTGCAATCACTACAAGTCACTTCGAGGAATTTTTAACAGTCGTCTTACTTTTTTAGACCCTTTTGTTCTTACACTACTACCATCAACAGCGAGAACACGTCTTTCCCCCATCAACTGCTGAGTGTCAATGTCCCCTTCTGCCATCACAGATTCTCCCCCTCAGTCCAACGCCTACCCGGCGTCAACACGTCTCGGCAATGGCCTTGCTGTCCAGCAGCCGCCGCCCAACTTCCGGGGCTATGACCACGTAACATGGTGGGTGGGCAACGCGAAGCAGGCGGCGGCCTATTACAACACCCTCTTCGGCTTTAAGACGGTTGCCTACAAGGGCCTCGAGACCGGCAGCCGGTACATCACTTCTTACGTTGTCGCCAATGAAGGCGTCCGCTTCGTCTTCACCTCCCCTATTCGTTCCCACGTTCATCTACCAGAGGATGAACCCATCTCGAAGAGTGACCGTGCCCTCCTAGCTGAAATCCACGCCCATCTCGAGAAGCACGGCGACGCAGTAAAGGACGTCGCTTTCGAGGTGGACAATGTCGAGGCCGTCTTCGAGCAGGCCGTCGCAGCTGGCGCTGTTTCTGTTCAGAAACCCACCATGCTCCGCGACGAGCAATACGGCGACGTCCTGACCGCCGTTATCCGCACGTACGGTGACACCACCCACACCCTCATCTCCCGAGCCGCCGGGTCCTACAACGGACCTTTCCTCCCCGGCTTCCGCGCCGCCAAACCGCCGTCCTCAACCATAACCCTTCCCACGGCACCGCTCGCCCGCATCGACCACTGCGTCGGCAACCAATCGTGGAACGAGATGGTGGCCGCCTGCGCCTTCTACGAACGCTGCTTGTCCTTCCACCGCTTCTGGTCGGTCGACGACTCGCAGATCTGCACCGAGTTCTCCGCCCTCAACTCCATCGTCATGGCGTCCCCCAACAATATGGTCAAGATGCCCATCAACGAGCCCGCCCCGGGAAAGAAGCGGTCCCAGATTGAGGAGTACGTCCTCTTCAACTCGGGACCTGGAGTCCAGCATATCGCTCTCCTGACTCACGACATCATCTCCACCGTCTCCGCCATGCGGGCTCGTGGCGTCGAGTTCATCTCCGTCCCCAGCACCTACTACGAGACGCTGCGCCACCGCCTCAAGACCGAGGCCCGCCGCTGGGCGCTCAAGGAGGACCTCGACACCATCGAGCGCCTCAACATCCTTATCGACTACGACGAGGGCGGTTATCTCCTCCAGCTCTTCACCAAGCCGCTTATGGACCGCCCCACTGTCTTTATAGAGATCATCCAGCGCAACAACTTCGAGGGCTTTGGCGCTGGTAACTTCAAGAGCCTCTTCGAGGCCATTGAGCGAGAGCAGGCCGAACGGGGTAACCTATAAGCTTGCCGACCTCCCAGAGGATGTCGGCAGATAGTTACTCTTTTTATTCTTTAGTGAAATGACCACCTAAGCGAGGACTCGAACCTCGCTTGGCTGATCGGATGGGAGGAGACCCACGAGAAGAACAAACAACCCATAGCAGAACATAAGGTGTATATACCATAAGTATACGGAGCACGTCGGTGGTACAATGAAATGAATGTATGCCACTCAATCGTGCAATGGTATCGCTGTGATAGTGGAATTTCCTTCTCCGATAGAAGGGCAAAAATATCTTGGCATGTCGTGTCGTAATAATTGCTACAGGTATACTAGATGCATCAGGGGGGGCTCTGGGTTGGTAGCCAAAATTTGACCTGTCCCGTCCACCTCGTTCCCCCCTATTTGCTGCTTTTGTACGTGTAGTAAGAGGCAAGAGAAAAATTCGCCGCCCCTGAATGATGACGCCGTCGCGAATGAAGAGCGAGCTCATGAATACGCTCGTTCGTCGCGTAAAATGCTTTCCCGCTCTCGAGCCGGATCGATCAATCCATCCTTCGTGATTGATGTCCAAATCCCACCACATAGAAATCCTCAAAAATGGGGTTCCCTCACGTGTCTACCTCCATCGCGCCATTCATATGGTGCCCATTCGTCCCAGCCGTGCCGTTACCCTCGGCCTGTGCCTCGCCTTGCTGGCCCCTGGTATCACTTTGACACCCGGGACAGTTATGTATCACCTCGTGGGCAAATACGTCGCAGTCGATGCAGAAGTGGTTGCCACATACTTCGCATGCATACCGCCCGCTTTCGCTAACACCCGGTAGCTCTGTGGTTTTCGGTTGCGTCTTGCCCTTCCCTTCTACCTCCTCTTCCCCTCTCCTACCACTTGCCTCCTTCTCCCCCGCCCGGCGTCTTTCCGTTTCATCTTCTCGGTCTTTATCTTTATCTTTCTTTCGTTTTGGTGGATCTGGGAATGGCGCTAGACAGGAGTAGCAAGCCTTGGACTTTCGTGCTTTCGTCCACGGCACCTCTACCCAGTTGCGTAGTGGGAAGAGATGGTGATATGATCGGGCCAGGTGTGTGGATAGAATAAGCGTCAGACCACAACCGGGGCATTCAGCCGGCAGGCGGCAGACGCGGGTGAGGCAGCGAGTGCACGAGTACCCTTCGCGGGTGGGCAGATTATGGCAAGCGCAGTATACTATAGTATCGGTCGGCGCAAGGGTGCGAGAAGGAAAGCCCATCATCAGCAGTGAAGCGGTACTTTGGGCCTGCGTGCGGGTGACAGGTGGCGTCGTCGTACGGAGGAACAACTCGCGGAAATGAACTTCGTCTATAGCCACATTATATTGGGTCTCGTCACCCGCATTCGTCTTGGAGCAGATCTCTTCGCAGATAGCGACTTGTGCAGCAAGGCCAACAATCGTGACTCGGACACGATCTACAATCAGATTGGATATTGTATCGCGGATGTCGCCAGGATCGCTTGAGAGGAGGGCACCATAGATGAAGAGGACTTCACGCGTGCCGTGGGATGGAGCATGGCTATAAGGAAGAGCTCGTGGTTAGTTAAAGTCTGGCGAGAATGAAAGAAAGGCTGGCGAAAGAGTGAAAAAGAGATGAAACACCCTTTACCAGCATTAAAGCAAACAAGAAAGAGAATGGCCTTACAAGAGAGCTCCGCGACACATCTCCAAGGCGTTTTGCAAGCTTGGGTTCCCTTGCGGTTCCAGATCCTCCCATTTCTTGAGGTGTTCCAGGTGCTCGGTCGGGTTCCCGCTCATATCGCTGATCCGCACGGCAATACCATCCCGCATACCAATAATCCCCATTTGTGAAATCGGATTCTGCTCAAAGTATGCCCTCACAAACTCGCGCGCAAGCTTCCAAGTCAGGCGATGCCGCGTGGGCATCAGGTCCTTCTCGGCCATGGCGAAGGACATGTCCAGAACAAGCATGAGGTGTCTTATGATGCCGCGTTGAAGAGGCGTCGTATCTCGCAGCAACCGCCGCCGCTTCTCAGCCTCGAGACGTTCGCCAACCGTCAGGCTACCATCATCGCCCTCTACGACCTCCTCCCAGCTCCGCTTCACGGCTTCCCAGGCCATGGAACGCCCGGCTTTTTTCCGGTCTCTGCGCTGCTTTCGCCCGCCTTGTGATTTGCCCGACCGTGTATTGGCGCCATCTTTGCCACCGCGGCCGCCGTCGCTGACTTGGTGATCGAGGAGGTCATCGTCTGAGAGGTCGCCACCTACATATTCGCCATCGGAGTCGGACATGGTAGGCGAAAGACGACGCGGTAAAATAGCTCGACAAGTTCAAAAGGATTGAGAACTTTGTAGTGTAGGTTAGCCATAGCAGGGAGTTAGTGTTGGATTGACGGGCGTGTGATCCGGCCGGAGCAGAGATGCAATAGATGTATGATTGTTGTCAGATGCCATAGCCACCTTATCGGGGTGTGATAAACCATATTATGTCAGACATGTGGAGTACCTTGGTCCTATGTATCCACCCTTATTTCCCCTGCTTTTTCCGTATAGTTAGATATTCCTATAAAGTATTATAAGCTTCACTTAGATGAATACATATATAATTCCGCGTACCATATTTATATTCTAATAGTTATAAGCCCGGCGTTCTAATAAAACGAAGCTATTCCGATCGATCCTATAGCTTCTAGGCTATCAAAATCAGCCTTAAGTCTATAGCGGGCAGTTTAGTATTATTAGTAATATCCGCCTGCTTTAGTTTTATTTAATCGTTTTATTGTTTTAATTGCACTATCATTTTAAGCGTTTAGTATAGTTAATTAACCTTTCCATTTATCCTATTCCACTGCTTTTTATTAGTATAATAATAGCTTTTATAGTAGTAGTGCCCGTTATAGGCCTTATAACGCTTACCTCTCCGAAAGACTAGAGGCCTTGGATTAAAGCCGTGATAACTATCGCGTACTCCTACGATATCGCCGACCTTATTAATCCCGATCTTAAAGAAGCTAAACGGCCTAAGCGCCGTATACAAATAGATCCACCTACGCCTTTAGCTTCTATTAAAGGAAGAGGTAATTAGGATATATAGTTTAAGATCTAGTAAGTAGAAAAGGATCGGTATAAGGCTAAGAAGAGGGGAATCTAAGCCCTATACGATTATATCGCTAAAATAGTTAGCTCTACTTTAAAGGATTAGTACGCCGGCTATAAGGAAGTAAGGGATATATTAAAGGCCTTAAAGACGCACCTTAAGCCGATAAACGCCGCCTAGAAGGTACTAGTTAAGAGACGCTAGGACGAATACCTTTAAAACGTTAGGCGTATACCCTATAAGCGCTAGCTAGAAGACTTTATAAAGCTATACCGCGACGCCGAGACGTATAAGGTTCGAGAATACGATACTAAGGAATAATAGATAAACGGCTTCTTTAATACTATTAGCAGCGTAATACTAAAGTAGTTAAAAGGACGCTTTATATAGCTTATCCGGTTAAAGGAGGAAGACCTACCCTTGATTTAATCTATTATAGAATAGTATACGACGTGGCTTTAATGCCGCTACCCGTACTAACTCGATAAGAAGCCTACCGTAGTATCCTTTTATACGGTAACCTTCTTAGGTAAGGATAAAGAAGGTAAGGATTAACGGGTATAATCGGGATAGTAAGATAATTAGTAGTCCTCTTTATAGTAAAAGAAAGAGTGGCTTTACGACTACTGTAATAAGAAAAGGAGTAAATATAATTATAAGCCTCTATAGAAGTGCCTAAATATATATAAGGCACGTAGGAAGAAGGGATATACACCTTTAAAAGAGATCTTAGAACGCGTCGACCATATTATAAAGACCTAGGATAATAAACGATAAAACCTCTTTAACTAGTTATTAATCGATTCCGGCACTTTTAGGTATATTACTAACTAATAATACCTGCTTTAGGATTTCGAACCTATTATAGAGGAGTATCGTTTTTAAATAGGTGGTGGAGAGACTAAGCTAGTTAAGGGTTATAGCAGGATATAATTAGAGGTAGACGATAAATATAGTAATCCCTTTATTTTAGTGCTAAATCGCGTTACTTTTATATAAGACTACCTAATAACCTTGATCGTAACTAGAAGATTAAAGGAATAGGGTATCGTTTTTAATACCGACCTTGAGGTCTTATAGGTTAAGAGATCTGCCGAAGAGGGCTTATTAGCCCTACCACTTAATAACGTTAACGACTAATACGCCCTTATTCTAACCGATCGCTAATAGTACCTACTAAGCAGCTTCTTTAATAGCTCCACGACGCCTACTATAAGCGTGGCTAACGCTTATTTATAGTATAAGAGGCTAGGGTATACCGGCGCTACTACCCTCGATAAAATTAACGATACCCTTATTAGAGGTATGATTAAAGGACGCTAAAAAGGCCCTTTTATAGTAGACTATAAGGCCTATACCCTTAGTAAGGTAAAGAAGGTTATTTCTAAACGGTCGCCTAACCACTAAATAACGATACCGTGGTATAGGGTGGAGGTTAACCTCTTTAGCATTAACGAGGCCTATAACGGTATGAAGGTCGTGATGCTTTTATACGATCCCTATACTCGTTAAGCTATTATGCGGTTCCTATATGACTATAAATTAGCCTTGCCTATGTTAGTGAATTTTAAGTTCTTCTTTTAGAGGTAGTACCACTATATAATTATAGTAATCCGCCTAGATAGAGAAAGATCCTTTTAGAAAGGCTTCGATAAATAAGCCGATAAGAGAGGGATTTTGCTTAAGAGGTTATCGCTATATATAGCCGCTTAGAATCCGAAGGCAGAACGCCACGGCGGCGTTATCTTTACTATCGCGAGGACTCTCGTAACGGGCTTAGGTATCTAATAGGATATATAGCTAGAACTAGTGGCTGCTATAGTATATCTATATAACCTTATCCCTTAGAAGGACCTCTAGTGGAAAACCCCTTAAGGGTAAATAGAGGATTAGATTAATAAATAAGGTCTAAAGAAGATCCTGATAAAGCCTATCGTTAGCCACCTAAAAAGATATAGTTATAGAGCCTATCTACTAACCGCTAACTACTAACAAGGTCATTATCAGATAAAGCGTAGTCAAAATCGTCATAAGATAGGTCAAAATTTATTGAGGCAATTATATATAATTGTAACTGTCTTAGACCGTCAGGGAAACGCTACTACCGTATTTTATATAGTGCAGATTCTGTAAGCGTCTACCCGGATTATACTCTTAGTAATCCGGCCTATTATATAACCGAAAAGACTATAGTCTATTCAACACACCCCCTAATCGCCCTAAACGTTAAATAGGCGATTAAAGCTATTCGTAATCGGCAGATAATCCAGCTATATAATCTATTCGCTATAGCCGCCTTTAAATTCATTTTCTAAGTCCTCTAAATATTCTATCCGGACTTCCTCTAGCTATTTCTGCTATAACCGTTCCCGTATATCTATCACGCCTACCTAGGACCTACATATCTTAAATTTCTCGCCGTATAACGCCTTCGTTAATCCGTCTACCACTATTTCCGCGCTTATAACGTACGTTACGAGTATTTACCCTTATTCCTTTACTTAACATAACTAATAGCCATGGATATTAACGTGGCGGAGGCGCGTTATTAACGTGCTAATCTCTTAATTAACTAATCGAATCGTTTAGTTATTATCGTATAAGATCCTTAATTCCGGATCGTTAAATTCCACTTCTATACTAAGTAATAGGCGTTATATAAAGATACCCTCTTTTACACCTTATACTAATGCTAATAGCTCTGCTTCCGTTATTAACGTCGTGACTATATCCTGCTTATTAGCGCGCCACGCGATTATACCGCTAAATAAGCATATCACGTACGCTTAACTACTCTTTCGATTAAGAGTATTATCGGTAAATAAGGCGTTAGTATAGATTTCGATTGTATCGCCACCTCTTAGTTCTAATATAAACGATTAGCTATTAATTAGATAAAGGATTAGATAATCGGCGGCCTTATAGTGAATAGGCCCTGGATTAACGTTAAACCGGTATAGCCTGAATACTATAAACGCGATATCAGGCCGCGATATCACTACTACGTATAGTATAGATCCTATCTTCCGTTAATAGCTTTTAACGTTAGTCGAGGTCCTTAAATAGGGTAGCAGCTCTATAACCTTAATTAGGTACGTTAGGCGATAATTACTACTATACTTACTATTCGGCTTTAATAGGTGTTCTAACTTAGTAACGTAGTCGTGTTATAATAGCTAGATTTTACGGGCGACGCGGTCGCGAATAACCTTAATACTAAGGAACCACTATAGAGGATCGCTACCTTATAGGTTATAGTAGCATTATAGGTTATTAACGGCCTACTCTATCTACGCCTTATATTATTCTTTATAAGTAATAGCAATATCGTTAACGTAGAAGAATAGGATTAAACCGCGGCGTAGAAAATAACACGGTTCTTACGGTACTATCTAGAAGCCGTCCGCTAAAAGGATAGCCGAAAAGTGCTTTTACTAAAGTAGTGGAGACTCCTTAAGTCTATATAACGCCTTTTTCAGGTGTAAACGACTCCTAAGGGCTAGAAAGCCTAGCGGCGGGTATATAAAGATATTATAGGGGAGGGGCGCGTGTATAAACGCGTTTATAACGTTAAATTATAATAGCGTAAGGTTAAATCGGGCGGCGATAGCTATTAACGCGCGGAATAACCGTCCGGCTAGTATTACTACGTATATCTTCTTAAGCGAGGATTAATTCTACTAATCTCCTCGTACTATAAGCCTTACCTTATATTTATATAGAAATCTATACTTATCAAACTTATATATTATTACCTATATCGAATTAAGAACCTACTATCTATCTGCTACGGACGCCGGCACCCGTATCCATAACCCTATCTCCTTATAGCTCCGTAGGTAGTCTTCTTATGCCTATCGGAATAGGTGGCTATAAGGGTGCGAGGGTATATCGTAAGGGTTCTTCGGAGGAGGAGGGAGGTTTTTACGGTGGATTTTTATAGCCGCCGGGGTAACCGCCGGAGCACCTGCTAAAGTAACCGCTAGAGTTATATTTCCCGAGATAGCCTCCCGGCTTATACTTCTGGTAGCTGCTGCCGGGGCTATAGATTTATAGGGTATTATTAAGCGTCGTTATAATGCTATAGGCGTAGACCTTTTTAACCGTAATTTAGTTAGCGGAGTTATATTTAATATATATATATATTAGGGGCGTGGCGGCTAGCGTTAAACGTAATAACCTAATAGTCTCTTTTCCAGCTATCGCCTTACCGAATTAGTTACGCTCCTTTATTTAATAGGAGCCCTATAGCCGTAGCTATAGGGGTATCGTAGCACTGTGTTCCGTTATCCTAGAACCCTACTGCCGTAAGGGTATCACGGTTTCCTAA